TTCGAAAAAGAAATACGAGGAGTTCTCAAAATTCTCTTAATTTTTTTCGACAACGAAACACCAAGAACCCTAAATATTCATTTAAATTCTTTCAAAAATGAAAAACCAGGAGGTCTTAAGGTTCTTTTAAATTTTTTCGAAAACGAAATACCAGGAGCTCTAAAGATTCTTTAAATTTTTTACGAAAACGAAACACCAGGAGCCCTAAAGATCCTTCTAAATTTTTTCGAAAACGAAAAACCAAGAGTCCTAAAGGTTCATTTAATATTGTTTTTAAACAAAACAGCAAGAGCCCTCAAATTTCAAGAGGGAACCCTAAAGACTTTTTTAAAGATTTTCGAAAAAGAAACACGAGAAGCCCTCAAGATTCTTTCAATTTTTTTCGGAAACGAACACCAAGGGCCCTAAAGATTCTTTTAAACTTGTTCGAAAACGAAATCCCAGGAGCTCTAAAAATTCTCTTAATCTTTCTCGAAAATGAGACACGAACAGCCCTCAAGATTCCTTAAATTTTTTCGAAAATGAAACATTAGGAGCTCTTGAGATTTTTTTCAATTTTTTCGAAAACGAAACACCAAGAGCCCTGAAGGTTCTTTTAAACTTTTTTTAAAACAAAACACCAAGAGCTCTCACTATTGTTTTCAAATTTCAATGGCGCTAAATATTCTTTTAAACTTTTTTTGAAACTAAACACCAGAACCCTAAAGATTTTTTTAAAGATTTTCGAAAAAGAAATACGAGGAGTTCTCAAAATTCTCTTAATTTTTTTCGACAACGAAACACCAAGAACCCTAAATATTCATTTAAATTCTTTCAAAAATGAAAAACCAGGAGGTCTTAAGGTTCTTTTAAATTTTTTCGAAAACGAAATACCAGGAGCTCTTAAGTTTTTTTTTAACTTTTTCGGAAACAAAACATCAGAAGCCCTCAAGATTCTTTTAAATTTTTTCGAAAATCAAATACCGGAAGCTCTTTATTAAGTTTTTTTTTTTAACTTTTTCCGAAACAAAACACCAGGAGCCCTAAAGGTTCTTTAAATTTTTTTCCAAAACGAAACACCAGGAGCCCTAAAGATCCTTCTAAATTTTTTCGAAAACGGAAAACCAAGAGCCCTGAAAGTTCTTTTAAACTTTTTTTAAAACAAAAGACCAAGAGCTTTCACGATTGTTTTCAAATTTCAATGGCGATAAATATTCTTTTAAACTTTTTTTGAAACTAAACACGAGGAACCCTAAAGATTTTTTTAAAGATTTTCGAAAAAGAAATACGAGGATCTCTCAAGATTCTTTCAAATTTTTTTAGACAACGAAACACCAAGAACCCCAAAGATTCTTTTAAATTCTGTCGAAAACGAAATACCAGAAACTCTTATGATTCTTTTAAACTTTTTCGGGAACGAAACATCAGGAGCTCTCATGATTTTTTCAAATTTTTTCTAAAAAAAATACGAAGAGCCTCAGGATTCTTTAAATATTTTCGAAAATGAAACAGCAGGAGTTCTTAAGCTTCTCTTCAACTTTTTCTAAAACGAAACACCAAAAGCCCCGAAGATTCTTTTAAACTTTTCCCAAAACAAAACACCTGGAGCCCTCGAGATTCTTTCAAATTCATCGAAAAAAGAACAGGAGCCCGTAAGATTCTTTTAAATTTTTTCGAAAATGAAATGCCGGGAGCTCTTTTGTTAAGTTTTCTTTTTAACTTTTCGGAAACAAAACACCAGAAGCCGTAAAGATTCTTCAAACCTTTTTCCAAACCGAAACTCGAACAGCCCTCAAGATTCTTTAAATTTTTTTCGACAACGAAACCCCAACAGCCCCAAAGATTCTTTTAAATTCTAGCGAAAACGAAATATCGGCAACTGCTAAAGTTTTGTTAACTTTTTCGGAAACAAACATCAAGAGCCTTCAAGATTTTTTCAAATTTTTTTCTAAAAAATACACGAAGAGCCCTCAAGATTCTTGAAATTTTTTCGAAAATGAAACACCAGGAGTTCTTAAGCTTCTCTTCAACTTTTTCGAAAACGAAACACCAAAAGCCCCGAAGATTCTTTTAAACTTTTCCTAAAACAAAACACCAGGAGCCCTCGAGATTCTTTCAAATTTATCGAAAAAAGAACAGGAGGCCTAAAGATTCTTTTAAAATTTTTCGAAAATGAAATGCCGGGAGCTCTTTTGTTATGTTTTTTTTTTAACTTTTTCGGAAACAAAACACCAGAAGCCCTAAAGATTCTTTAAACTTTTTTCCAAACCGAAACTCGAATAGCCCTCAAGATTCTTTAAATTTTTTTCGACAACGAAACTCCAAGAGACCCAAAGATTCTTTTAAATTCTTTCGAAAACGAAATATCGGGAACTGTTAAAATTCTTTTAAACTTTTTCGGAAACAAACATCAAGACCCCTCAAGATTTTTTCAAATGTTTTCAAAAATGAAACACTAGGAGCGGTTAAGATTCTCTTCAACTTTTTCGAAAACGAAACACCAACGTCTCCGAAGATTCTTTTAAACTTAAAAAAAAAAAAAAACACCTGGGGCCCTCAAATTTTTCGAAAAAAGACAAAAGACGCCTTTAAGATTCTTTTAAATTCTTTCGAAAACGAAATACCAGGAGCTCTTAAGGTAAAGAGCAAAATATGAACCTCGCCCACCCACCCTGTCTCAATTGTGATGACTGTTTTTATTCGTCCTGAGCCTGAGGGCGGAGCTTAATTGCAAAATCCTTATTTTTCTACAAGAAATTATCCTATTAAACATGTTCTTAAACAATCGTGTAATTTAAAAAAAAAAAATTAAGCCCCACCCATTTGTGGAGAAAAAATATCTGCCCCGCCCACCCACCCTATCGTAATTCTGATGATTTTTTTTCTGCTCGTCGTAAGCCGTGGGGCGAATCTTAATTGCAAAATTCTTATTTTTATACAAGAAATTGCTGTATGAAACATTTTTTTGAGTAATCGTGTTGTTGAAAGCAAACTATATGTATTAAGTAAAAAAAGAAAGGCAAAAGATAAGCTCCACCCATTCGTCTCCACCTAAATCTGGCTTTAATCTTTACTTAATATACTTAGTATTCCTCGAACACGATACTCAAAAATATATCTTACGTGATAATTTTTTTGTCGAGAAATAAGGGTTTTGCAATTAAGCCTCTTTGCTCACGACGAATAAAAAAAATCATCACAATTGAGATGGGGCGGGTGGGTGGGGCTTATATTTTGCCTTTTTTTCTTAATATACGTAGTCATCTTTTCACAACAAAAACTTAAAACAAGTATATTATAAAAAAAATATCAGCCCCGCCCACCCACCCTATCTCAATTGTGATGATTTTTTTTACTCGTCGTAAGCTGTGGGGCGGAGCTTAATTGCAAAATCTTTATTTTTTTAACAGCAAACTATATGTATTAAGTACAAAAGGAAACAAAAACATAAATCCTGCCCATTCGTCTCCATCTCAATTTGGCTTTACTTTTTACTTAATATAGTTACTATTCTTTGAACAACATGATGCTCAAAAATATATCGTACGTAGTAATTTTTTGTCGAGAAATAAGGGTTTTGCAATTAAGCTCCGCCCTCTTGGCTAAACAAGAATAAAAAAAATCATCACAATTGAGACAGGGTGGGTGGGCGGGGTTTATATTTTGCCTTTTTGTTCTTAATATACGTAATCATCTTTTCACAACAAAAACTTAAAACATGTATATTATAAAAAAGACAAAATATCAGCCCCGCCCACCCACCCTATCTCAATCGTGATGATTTTTTTTACTCGTCGTAAGCCATGGGGAGGAGCTTAATTGCAAAATCCTTATTTTTCTACCAGCAGACTATATATAGTAAGTACAAAAGAAAACCAAAACAAATCCTGGCTATTCGTCTCGATCTCAATCTGGCTTTAATTTTTACTTAATATAGTTAGTATTCTTTGAACAACATGATGCTCAGAAATATCTTAGGTGGTAATTTTTTGTACAGAAATAAGGGTTTTGCAATTAAGCTCCCCCTCTTGGCTCACGACGAATAAAAAAATTCGTCACAATTGAGATAGGGCGGGTGGGTGGGACTTATATTTTGCCTTTTTTTCATAATATACGTAGTCATCTTTTCACAACAAAAACTTAAAACATGTTTAAAATGGTAAATTTTTGTACAGAAAAACGCTCCCCCCCTTGGCCTGGCAACGAATGAAAAATTCAACACGAGATTAAGCCCCACCCATACCTGCCCGACCTCAATAGTGTTAAAGTTTTCATTCGTGGTCAGACCGAGGGGCGGAGCGGAATTGCAAAATCCACATTTTCCTACAAAAATTTACAATTTTAAACATGTTTTAAGTTTCTTGTTGTGAAAAGATCACTACGTAAATTAAGGAAAAAAGGAAAAATTTAAGTTTAATCTATTGGAATAATTGTGGTGAAAACTTCTGCTTAGTTTTCAGATTACAGGCTATTTTTGTAAAATTAGATGCAGATGGAGAAATATACAGAAACTAAACTAGAAATTCGTGAAGAATAAGGAAAATAAATTAAATGGAACAATGAATGAAAACATGATCTTTAAATTTTTAGAATAACCACCAAATTTTTTTAACTCGAGAACAGGTTAAATGGTAACACAATTTATTTTTCACCCCTCCAAAAAATTGATGACGTCACCCCAAAATTAACACATTTAGGATGCTTGGTGTCGTCCTTGCAAAAAATTTAGCCCAATTCCTAGATATTTTACACATTTTAATGTAACCAATTAGAGAAAAAATCACACTGTTTCAAATAAGCAAACCATATAAACCGACCGATATTTAAACAATAATAAAAAAACCAATGATCTCAGACGTCACTGAACCTGATTTACAACTTGCATTTAAATATTCCATTATCTCTAACCTTCAAAAATACACACTGGTTTCGCACTCATCACTTATTCATACTTACTACAAAACAACAAGATCTGAAAACCGATTTAAATAAATGAATATTAATTAAAAAAGTGAATCGCAGCATTCTGACGTTTCCTTTCGCAATCGCGACTGATAAACATAAAACACGCAACCTTATCACCATAATTACGGTCACCCATCCTACAACAGTTGAAAGTTATTAATAGCCACCTCAGACCGGTTTTTTAACACAGCAGAGTCATCTAAAGACCAATCCCTGCACTCAAAAGCAGCTGTGATGCGTTATTTTTATCGATAAACTAAAACACAAATGGCCCGACAACAGGTACGTATTCAGTTTAAAAATTCACCCGCAAATTTTTGTAATTTAGAACACCCCCGGCGTCGGCGTCGAGTACGAAATCTCCGTCCCCGCCTACTTCGCGCTTAACCTCAACAACAACAGTGACGTCAGAGACTTTAATGTGCGAAGCAACGTAGCGGTGGAATTCGGGAATATGGATGACGTCATCGTGGATATAGAGATGGTCAACGGGACAAAACACTACTTCGCCATCCAGCTGAAGCACAAAGAAAAGAAAAACAAGAAGTTGTTGCCGACGAACTTCGAGGCTAAAGGCAACTTCAGTCTGGAAAAGTATTGTAAAGCGTTCAAGGACATCGAAAAGCGGAACAAAAATTATCGGTTTATTTTGTACACCAACAGCGAGTATAACTCGAGTCGGAAGGAACAGATGACGAATTTTCGCATGTCGAAGGAAGATAAGTGTGAAGGGAAAGTTTTCTTTGATACTAGTTCGGGTCGGGATGGTGTCTATAGATTCGAAGTCAATGACAATATTCCAGACGCGGAAGTTACTAAGTCGGACTATGAACAGTTCTTTCGCCGGTTTACCGTCTACGTTGGTCAGAAAAATTTCGAAGACCTCGAACAAGAGATTTTTCGTATTTTGAAGAATAAGAGTGCTGGGTTGAAATATCTAGATGTGTTCAGGCGGTGGCACCAGAATAGATTTACTAACAAGACCATTGACAAAGAAACTGTCAATATCCACCTAGTTGATATTTTTGTGTCCGAGTTTGTGATCGCCAGCCACATTTCGAACGACTTGTTTGGACGGATTGTCAAAGAGTTCGACGTGACGATAATCGACGAAAGTGTAGACAATATAGATTCGTTAAAACGTTGTGAAGGCGATGATCGAAACGTTGATGACGATCTTCATTTGGCTAAAAAGTACAAAATTGTTGATAAGTCAGTCTACGAGTTGGACTGTGGCACGAAAAGAAAAATCTTGCAGTATTTCTTCCTGAAGGTCGTACTTATCAATTTCAACCAATCGTCGGAAGACAATTTATATCAAATGCTGGAACATTATCGGTGCAGCGACAATAGAATCAAATTTGTTCTAGTTGGAAGAGGAATCGACACGGCGAAACTATCAAACTTCACGATCTTCCAAAACTTGCAGCAGTTATCAAAGTTTGATAATTTATACGCAGAAGTTTTAAAGACTTGTCAATTAAGTATGCAAGGGAAGGATCCAATTACTTTGGAAGAGCTGCTGCGAATTTGTGACGACGTGGACTTCGTAGGACCAAAAGAAATACTATTTATGTTGACTAGACCTCTGACAATAGGTGAAGACAAAGAACTTCTTCCTCCGGTCTATATCCACAGACGGGTATCAACCGAAGTACCCAGATTGATACACCTATTAAACCCATCTATCGTCAAACGCCACACTCTGGTCATCGACTTTAACACCCACTTGGACCAAATCAGGACCCAATTCGAAGAAAAAGGTATCACAATCGTCGACATTGACGACTACTACAAACTAGAAGCCCCACCTCAAACCCCCGTGATAATCTCAGTCCACGACGAACACTCCTTCGAAGAACTCGATTACATCCGACGCAAAAACAACACCCACGCTTTGTTGTACCTGAAAATGGTCAACCCCAAAACCTTCATTCCTGTGGTCCACAACTCCACCGAACCCTCCCTCTTTGAAAAAATCTTTATCGACGAAAACAACATCCACGAACTTTTCGACAACAAAATGAACATCTTGTGCGCACAACCCGGAATGGGCAAATCCACGATGTTCAAACTTCTAAAAAACCAAACCCGTTTGTGGTCGGTGGTAGTCGACTTGAAAGCCCACAACACGTTTCTGAAAACCAAGCGACCTTTGAGTGACGTTCTGGCCCACTTTTTCGTCACCACAGACGCGTTTGTGGCTAAAGTCAAAACTGCCTTCTTCAGAAAGAAGAAAGTGGTTTTCTTTTTTGACGGTCTAGACGAACTTGACGATCAATGTGTAGACAACGTCTTGGATTACAGTGAGGAGATGGTGGAGTTGGGGTTCCGGGTTTGGGTGTCGTCACGGGAAAACTTGAAACCACGACTTGTGTCCAGGTTTAAGAAGATGACGATAGACGTGGTGGAGGTGGGGGAGAAAGAGCAGACGGAGTACATTCGGGGGCGGCTGCATTCCCACTACACCGACGACGAAATTGAAGAAATGGTCGACAATATTTTCGGTAGCACGGATATCGTCAACAATCGTCAGATTCTGGGGATTCCGCTGCAGCTGTACATCATCACGCAGATTTTTCTGGATGATCGGCAGCAGTACGACGAGATGACGAAGAACTTTTTTGTGTTGACGAAAATGTATAGGTTTTTTTTCGACGGGAGGTACAAGCACGCGACTGACAAGCAGGAGTCCAAGAACCCCCATTTGGTGATAGGGGAGCCTGAAGACTACTTCGAGAAGTACGAAATTTTGGCGTTGCAGTTTCTTCTAGATGACGATGTTGTGCAGCGGCTGAACCTTGACACTAGACGAAGTAGGAGGTTTTTGGATAGAATCAAAGACAAGAAGGACCCTTTGGGTATCGTCGTTGGGGTCACCAACGACAAGGCGGTGTTTGAACATTTCACCTATGCCGAATATTTCGCCTGCGTTTTCTTGTCTTTCAACTTCGACAAGTGCAGACTTTTGCAAGACGAACTGTTTTCAGACCGCTACAAGAACTTGCTTCAGATGTTCAACGTGATGTTGGCGGAGGAAAATCCCCTTCATCTAGCTGTGATTTACAAGGACCGCTTTCAAGTACAAGCACACATAGACGATGACAATATTTATGACAAAGCGGGTCGAAATCCTCTTCATCTCGCCGTCACTCAATGCTTGAAGTATCCAGGATATTTCATTCGTACTGAGACCGGGTGGACCACGATGACATCAGACATCATCAAACACATCGAAGTCAATGTGCTCAATAGACAATTCTTGAACCACGTGGCCAAATTCGACCCTCTGACACGCGACAAACTTTTCAACTGGAATTGTCTTGACTACGCTTTCGAAACCCGTTGCCTTGTCGCCGTCGAGGTGATCTTGACGAAACACCAAGTTCTAGACGAAGCCATCGAACATCTTCAGGTTTACAGAGACGACGGTCTTTTTCCTGGGTTTTGTACGTTTAGTGGGTGTCTAAATCTGGTGAAGGCGCTTCTGGGTGACAATCCAGTCAACACTATGACAAATTGGCTCCAAAAAACTCTTCTACGTGATACCATAGCATATTGCTTCTTTCAGAAGATAGAAATGGTGCGTTTTTGGCTTGAACGTGGCGTTTCTGTGGATTTTCTGTGGGAGGGTGAGACGGCTTTACATCTAGCAACCAGGCAAAAATTGCTTGATGTGGTGACTGTTTTGGTGGAGGGGGGAGCATCTATGGATGTTAAGACTGACAATGGAGACACTGTGTTGCACTCTGTTTTTGCCATGGGAATGTCACAGATTATGGACACCGTGGCAAAAGGGATTTGTCATTATAAAGACGAAGTCGCTGAAGTTTATTGTACTTATAAATGTAAGAAAATAGATCTCGTGAAGCTGTTTGTTGAGAGAGGAGTTGAAGTTAACTCGAGGAATAAACAAGGTGAAACGGCTCTAGATCTAGCTGTGGCCAGTGGAGACTCGGAAGTGGTTGACTTCCTACTACAGAAGGGTTCAGATGGTACTATTTGTAACAACGATGGGTTAACGAAATTGATGTAGCATTGTAAAATTTCATTAAATACCCACATTTTAGTGTTAAGTTTTTTGGTAATACAGCACCAAATTCACAAGTTTCTGCGTCACCACAAAATCCGCAAAATTCCCCACATTTGTTAGTAATCTATTTTAGGTTGTGCAACCACATAACCACAATGTGAGGTGTGCACACTTAGCTGATAAGCCCGAAGATATAAAATGGTGTGAATCGTGACTGATACGTACAAAAAAAAATGGCGAAGCAACACGTGAGTCCTTATTGATAATTTTTGTTGTAAAGGTTACATATTTCGTTCTTCTGGTAGTGTAAATAATGAAATTTTTGTCTCGACTTGAAGGTTACTGTGATAAAAATAGTCTCAGACTGCGCGTAGACAAAGAACTGAATAATCAATGTTATGCGAATTATGCAACCAACTATACAAACCCTGAAATTGATTTTTGTAAATTTTCATCTGTGTGTGATTTTTTGTGAGTTGATGGCGCTCGCTAAAAGTATCTATCGTGATTATTACCGTATAATCGAGAAAAAAAAAACGTCTCAAGAGCTTTGAAAATTTCAATGTTATTGAAATTATGTTGACAACACCAATATGATAGTTGATCGGTAAGGTTACTAAATTGGCGGGTATTATGAAATAGTAATTTTTACTCGAATCGGGAGTTAAAATTTGTATGTCTTGCTGCTTATTATTGGTCTATAATGGCGTGGGTTTCAGGTGCGTTTTTGGCCAATTAATACCCAAGGGCGTTAAGACTAGTTGTCATAGTAACGTCAACAGAAAACGCAATCTGTTAGAAACCAATTATTATTTACTGTATTGTTGGTTGTGTAAATAAAAAAAATCCAAGACAGCTAAGAAACCTAAAATACTCAAGAAATCCAAAATTTCAAAAAATCCAAAATAATCCAAATCCAATAATTCGGAAATTCGAAAATATTCATCAAATTAAAAAAGACGAAAAATCAAAGAATTTAAGAAATCTAAAAAATCCAAAAAAGCCAAGACACTCAAAAAATCAATAATCTAAAAAATTGAAAATATCCGAAAAAAAAAACAAAAGTCGGGAAATAAAAAACAAAAAAATTAAACTTGACCAAAAAAATGTAAATAAAACATTTAATAAATCGAAAAAAACTAAATTTCCAAAAAATCCGAAAATTTCGAAATACCGAATAATCGGAAAAAAGATCTAAAAAGATCCGAAAAATCAAAAAGCCCAAAAAAATCACGTGATCCCAAAAATAAAAAAATATGGAATAATAAAAATTCGAAAATCCAAAAAATTTAAAAAGTCCGAAAAATCTAAAAAATCGAAGGAACCCAAGAAACTCAAGAAATCCAAAAATTAAAAAAATCGAAAATATTCTAGAAATCAAAAAAAAAACAACAAAAAATCGGAAAATAAAACAAAAAATTAAACTTATCCAGATAATGGAAAAAATGTAATAAACCCTAAAGAACAAAAAAATTTGAAAAATCTAAAAAATCGAAAAAACCCAAGAAACACAAGAAATCCAAAAATTCAAAAAATTGAAAATATCCTACAAATCCAAAAAAAAAAATCGGAAAATAAACCAAAAAAATTATATGTTTCCAAATAATGGAAAAAATTTAATAAACCTGAAAAAACAAAAAAAAATCCGAAAAATTGGAAATATCCGAAACAAGATCCGAAACATCAAAAAAATCCATATAATCCCGAAAAATAAAAAGAATGAAAAACCAAAAAAATCCGAAAAATCCAAAAAAAGGAAAAAACCCAAGAACTTCATGAAATCCAATTATCCAAAAATATCGAAAATATTCTAAAAATAAAATAAAAATAAACAATAAGTTTCAAAAATCTATAAATTCAAAAATATACGAAAAATCCAAAAAATCTAAAAAATGAAAAATATCTGAGAAAACTGAAAAATCGGAAAATAAAAAACCAAAAAAAATTAAACTTATCCAAAAAAATCGAAAAAATTTAGTACATCCAAAAAAATGCAGAATAACCGAAAAATTCGAAAAAAGATCCAACAACCCAAAACATCCAAAAAATCAAAAAATTGGAAATATCCTACAAATCCAAAAAAAAAAAAATCGGAAAATAAAACGAAAAATTAAACCAAATAATGGAAAACATTTAATAAACCTAAAAAAACAAAAAAATCCGAAAAATTGGAAATATCCGAAACAAGATCCGAGACATCCAAAAAATCAAAAAGTACAAAAAAATCCATATAATCCGAAAAAAAAAAAATGAAAAACCAAAGAAGTACGAAAAATACAAAAAATGGAAGAAATCCAAGAAATCCAATTATCCAAAAATATCGAAAATATTCTAAAAATAAAAAAATAAACAAAAAATGAAAGGATTCACGAAATCAAAGAAATCTAAAAAAATTGAAATTTCAAAAATTGAAAAATTCAAAAATATCCGAAAAATTAAAAAATATCCGAAGAATTCAAAAATTCTAAAAAAATCTGAGAAAAACAGGAAAAATACTGAAAAAACCCAAAATATCGAAAATATCTAAAAAATCTGAAAATAAACAACCAAAAAAAAATTAAACTTATCCAAAAAATCGAAAAAATTTAGTATATCCAAAAAAATGCAAAACAACCGAAAAATTCGAAACAACTCAAGAAATCCAAAATATCCAAAAACTCAAAATGCCCAAAAATCCACATACTTAATCCGAAAGATAAAAAAATGGAAAAATCCAAAAAAATGTAAAATCCAAAAAAAATCTAGAAAAACCTAAAAAATCGAGAATGAAAAAACAAAAAATGAAACATCCAAAAAGTGGAAAAAATTTAATAAATCCAAAAAAACTAAATTTCCAAAAAACCGAAAAATTCGAAACACCAAATAATCGGAAAAAAGATCCGAAAGATCCGAAAAATCAAAAAGCCCAAAAAAATCACGTAATCCCAAAAATAAAAAAATAATAGGTAGAATAAAAATTCGAAAATTCAAAAAATTTAAAAAGTCCGAAAAATCTAAAAAATCGAAGGAACCCAAGAAACTCAAGAAATCCAAAAATTCAAAAAATCGAAAATATCCTAGAAATACAAAAATTCAAAAAATTGAAAATATCCTAGAAATCAAAAAAAAAATCGGAAAATTAAACAAAAAATTAAACTTATCCAAATAATGGAAAAAATGTAATGAACCCTAAAGAACAAAACCCCCCAAAAAAAAAACCCGCAAAATTCGAAATATCCGAAACAAGATTCCAAAGATCCAAAAAATCAAAAAGTCCAAAAAAATCCATATAATATATAAAATAAAAAAAACAAGTTTCAAAAATTTATAAATTCAAAAATATACGAAAAATCCAAAAAATCTAAAAAATCTGAGAAAAACAAGAAAAATACTGAACACAATCCAAAAATCCAAAATATCGAAAATATCTGAGAAAACTAAAAAATCGGAAAATAAAAAACCAAAAAAAAAATTTAGTACATCAAAAAAAAAACGCAAAATAACCGTAAAATTCGAAATACCCGAAAAATTCGGTAAAAGATCCAACAATCCAAACATCCAAAATATTAGAAAAATCCAAAAAATCCAAAAAATGAACTAAAAATATCCTAGAAATCCTAAAAAACCTAAAAAATCGGGAATGTAAAAAACAAAAAATGAAACATCCAAAAAATGGAAGAAATTTAATAAACTCGAAAAAATTCTACAAAAATAAAACAAATCCGAAAAATTCAAAATATCCGAAGAAAAATCGAAAAAATTCGAAAGATCCAAAAAATCAAAAAGTCCAAAAAAAATCCACATAATCTGAAAAACAAAAAACCAAAAAAATCCGAAAAATCCAAAATGTAATAAAAAAAAAACAAAAAATGAAAGGATTTACGAAATCAAGAAATCCAAACAAAAAAATAAGAAATCCGATAATTTCAAAAATTTAAAGACTCCATAATATCCAAAAAATCTGAGAAAACCAAGAAACTCAAGAAACTGAATAAATCTAAAAAATCGAAAATATCTCAAAAATCCAAAAAATCGGCAAATAAAAAACCAAAAAAAATTTTAACTTATCCAAAAAATCGAAAAAATTTAGTACATTCAAAAAATTCCAAAAGACCCGAAAAATTCGAAACAAGATTAAAAAAAAATCAAAAAGCCTAAAAAAACTCACATAATCCGAAAAATTCAAAATAGAGGTAATCCAAAAAATTAAAAAGTGCGAAAAATGTAAAAAATGAACGAAACTCAAGAAACTCAACAAATCCAAAAATTTGAAAAATCGAAAATTACCGAAAAATCCAAAAAACCAAAAAAACCGGAAATTAAAAAAACAAAAAAGTAAACATCCAAAAAAATGGAAAAAATTTAATAAACTTAAAAAAACAAAAAAAATCCGAAAAATTGGAAATATTCGAAACAAGATCCGAAATATTCAAAAAATGGAAGAAACCCAAGAACTTCATGAAATCCAATTATCCAAAAATATAAACAATAAATTTCAAAAATCTAAAAATTCAAAAATATACGAAAAATACAAAAAATCTAAGAAATCTGAGAAAAACAAGAAAAATACTGAACACAATCCAAAAGTCCAAAATATCGAAAATATCTGAGAAAATTAAAAAATCCGAAAATAAAAAACAAAAAAAAATTAAACTTATCCAAAAAATAATCTAAAAAAAAACAAAAAATGGAAGGATTTACGAAATCCAAGAAATCCAAAAAAACTTAAGAAATTCGATAATTTCAAAAATTTAAAGACTCAAAAATATCCGAAAAATCCATAATGTCCAAAAAATCTGAGAAAACCAACAAACTCAAGAAACTGAATAAATCCAAAAAATCGAAAATATCTCAAAAATCCAAGAAATCGGCAAATAAAAAACCAAAAAAAATTAAACTTATCCAAAAAATCGAAAAAATTTAGTACATCCAAAAAAATCCAAAAGAACCGAAAAGTTCGAAACAAGATCCAAAAATCCAAAGGGGCCTAAAAAATCCACATAATCCGAAAAATTAAAAAACGAGGTAATCCGATAAATTAATCCGAAAAATCCATAATATCCAAAAAATCTGAGAAAACCAACAAACTCAAGAAACTGAATAAATCCAAAAAATCGAAAATATCTCAAAAATCCAAGAAATCGGCAAATAAAAAACCAAAAAAAATTAAACTTATCCAAAAAATTGAAAAAATGTAGTACATCCAAAAAAATCCAAAAGAACCGAAAAATTCGAAACAAGATCAAAAAATCCAAAGGGGCATAAAAAATCCACATAATCCGAAAAATTAAAAAACGAGGTAATCCGATAAATTAAAACGTGCGAAAAATGTAAAAAATGAACGAAACTCGAGAAACTCAACAAATCTCAAAATTTAAAAATTGAAAATTACCAAAAAATCCAAAAAACCTAAAAAATTAGCAATTAAAAAAGCAAAAATGAAACATCCAAAAAAATGGAAAAAATTTAATAAATACAAAAGATAAAAGAAAAACAATTCGAAATATCCGAAGAAACATCCAAAAAATCCAAAAAAATCCATGTAATCCGAAAAAAAATGAAAAACCAAAAAAAACCAATAACTTCAAAAAATTAAAAAAGTCCGAGAAATGTAAATAATCGAACATATCCTAAAAATTAAAAAAACAAAGAATGGAAGCAATTACGAAATCCAAGGAATCCAAAAAAGACTTAAGAATCTGATAATTTCAAAAATCTAAAAATTCAAAAATATCCGAAAAATCAAAAATATCCAAGAAACCTAAGAACCTCAAAAAATCCTTTAATCCAAAATCCCAAGATTCTAAAAAATTCAAGAAAGCCAAAAAACTAAAAAAATTTAAGAAAGCCAGTAATTCTAAAAATCCAAATAATCGAAAATATCTCAAAAATCCAAAAATCGGTAAATAAAATAACACAAAAAAAATTAACAACAACTGAATAAGGTCAAAAACAAAACACAAAAAACCAAAAAATCTCATAAAACCGAAGCATTCCGAAAAATCTGGAAAATCTGGAAAATTCGAAAAACCCAAAAAAAATCCATAAGATAATAGAGATCCAAAAGATCCAAAAAATCAAAATATCCGCATAATCCGAAAAATCCGAAAAACCCGGAAACTCCAAAAAATGCAAGTCACCCTCAAGAAATCCAAAATTTCCGAAAATTCAAATAATCGAAAGTATCCCAAAAATCCAAAAAATCGGAAATTTAAAACAAAAAAAATGTGCAATATAAAAAAATGAATCAAAAAGCCAAAACTCCGAAAAATCCAAGTATCCAGAAAATCCAAAAAATCCAAGAATAAACTCCAAGAACCTCAAAGAAAATGTCCAAAAAATTAAAAAAAAAACAAAAATCAAAGGATTTAAAAACGTCAAAATATCTAAAAACCCAAGAAACTAAAAAAACTCAAGAAGTCCAATAACACTGGTCAACAAAATTTAATTTTTTCTCTCTAACTTTGACATAATTGTAATGTTTTCGTTTAATTTGTCTCTGTGTTTGTAACAAAGGGCATAAACCTTGTAACTTAGCTCAATTAAAAAGAAAAATGCATATTTGATGTTAAAAACAAAAAATCAGGTAAAACAATGTAATTTTTGTATCTTTAACGGGAAAAAGTGATGTATTAACAAAAGAACAACCATAATTAAGAAAAAAACGATTGTAGTTTAAAAAACGAAAAAAACAAAAGAAACAGCTAAGACCGACGTTTTTTCGGTTGCCTCCGATAGATTTCATTGAAGATCTCTCGCTTGATGGTCCCGCAGTATTCTGCAAGCATTTAGGTGTTCCATCGATCTTGGTAACGTTTTTCTATCGACAAAATGCCCCGATGGAAGCGTTCTCCATGTTCGTCACTCACGTCGTCATAATTTTTGGGGAAAAAATCAAGATGCGAATGCATAAAATGCACTTTTAAGAATATGTTAATTTTAAATTTTTTATATGATGATAACATGTTTTCTACTTGCTAAACGTAGTTTTCTTATTGTTTCCCAAGAAGTTTGTAGCAATTTGATCACAAAAAATACACCTTATAGAAAGTTTCCTATTACTTAATAGTACGATTTTTGTATTTTTCAAAGGATAATATTTTAACATTACTTTTAAATGAGAGCTAAGTTTTGGTTTAGCCGTTTATAATATCATTTAAAATTGTTAATTAAATAATAATTGGCTGCTATAATAAAAGTTAGAGCTTAGCTGTTGACCAGTGAATTAGAAAAATGCAAAAAAAACAGAAAGTCCAAAAAAAACGAAAATATCCCAAAAATAAAAAAAAATCGGAGAATAAAAAAACAAAAAAAAAACAAAAATTATCAAATCATCCAAAAAAGTAAATAAATCTAAGAAAAAATAAAAAATCCCAGAGATCCGAAAAATTAAAAAATTCCAAGTCTTCAAGAACCTTAAGAAATCCAATAATACAAAAAAAAACACGAACATTTTCAAAAAAATCTAAAAAATCCAAAACTACAAAAAATCAAAATGGTAAATGTCAAAATAACTCTTAAATTTTATACTTTAACAGCATTTTCTCCCACAGGCTCCAGGCTTTGGCATCGAGTACGAAATCCTAGTCCCCGCCTATTTCGCCCTAACCCTCCACCAAAACCCCACCGTCAAAGCCTACTCCATCCGCAGCAACGTCCCCGAATTCGGCAACATCGACGACGTCGTAGTGGACATAACCACGACGGACGAGTCCACACACCGCTTCGCCATCCAGCTGAAACACAAAGAAAACCGCTCAACGAAACTCCTACCCACGAACTTCGAAGCCAAAGGCGACTTCTGTTTAGAAAAGTATCACAAAGCTTTCAACACCATCGACGCCCAAAACCAACACTGCCATTTCATTCTTTACACGAACAGAGAGTTCAATCCTTGTAGCAAACAACAGCTGAAGCACTTCCGGATGGTCGAAGACCGCTGTTTTGGTGAAGCTTTCTTCAACACTGGCGTGGAATCAGAAAGCGTGTATAGGTTCGAAGTCAACGACGAAACAGTCAAGGATTACGGGAGGTTTTTGGAAAGGTTTAGGGTGTACGTGGGGCAGAAGGGCTTCAAGGGGTTGAAAGAGGAAATTTTTGACAAGATGGACAGGAATGAACATGCTATGTTGAGTTACTTGGAGGTGTTTAGAACGTGGCACCAGAATGGCTACACGAACAAGGTTATGGATCAAACCACCGTCAATTTCCACTTGGTGGATATTTTTCTGGACAGTTTTACCATCACGGGTGTCCAACTTTCACGAAAAGGTGACCACAAACTTGAGTTGTTTGAAACAATAGTGAGACAATTTGACGTCACTATAATTGACGACAATATTGTCGAAGTGTTGCCAAAGTGTGACGATGAGGAAATTTCTGAACACACCACACAGATTTTGCGTTGGTATAAAGAAGAATACAAACTAGAAGTGACGGACCAAGACGATATTGACGATACCATGTTAGTGTATATGCTTTATCTAGGAAAGAAGTACAAATTTCTGGATAGGTACTTCACCAAAGATCGGTTGGCACTAGATACTAGAAAAAAGAACCAATTTTTGCACTACTTTTTCGATAAACCACTTCTCCTGGAGTGGTGTGAATCGTCAGCCCGAAATTTTGACCACGCGATGACTCTTTATCGCAACGACGGGAAAAACGTGAAATTCGTCTTAGTCGGTCAAGGAGTGGACGTGACCAAGTTGTCAAAATTCACGATTTTTGAAAATTTGAACGATTTATCAAAATCGAGCGCAGAGTATGCAGAAATCGTCAAAACGTGCACCTTGTCGTTACAAAATAAAGACAAAATCGTGTTAGAAGATTTACTTAGTTGTCTTGGAAGCGTTGACTTTATTAGAGTCAAAGAACTATTCCTCATGTTGTGTGACAATTTCGTGATTGGCGACGACACCGAAGTCCTCCCTTTGAACCACATCCCACGCCGAATTTCGATTTTCGTGCTCAAACAAGAATCCCTTTTGAAGCGAAATTTCCTCTTCAAAAACAACATATTCGTTATTGATTTTGGGGGGAAGTTTGAAGAGTTGAGGGAGGTTTTTGAAGATAATGATATCCCGGTTTTTGAATTACCGGGTTTCTTTAGGTTGACCACGCTTCCGCAGAAGTCGGTTGTGATACCACTGGACGACGAGTGTCCTTTGGACACTTTTGAACAAATCCGTGTCAAAACCAAAAGCAAAAATTTGTTCTATTTGAAGATGATTGATTTTGATACGTTCATCCCTGTGGTGTTAGAAAACACCGATCCTGCGTTTTTTAGCGAGATAGATGTAGATGAGAAGGAAATCCACAACTATTGTGACACTACAGTTAATGTTCTGTGTGCTCAAGCGGGAATGGGAAAATCCACTCTGTGTAAATCGCTGCACAAGCAGCTGCCAAATTTTTGGACTGTCATCGTCGATCTGAAAGCACACAACGGCTTCCTCAAAGAAAAACACTTCATTGACGACGTCCTACACCACTTGTTGACAATCACGGGAAACAATTTTCTTGACAATACGAAGACCGCGTTCCTCCGAGCCAAGAAAGTCGTTTTCTTCCTCGACGGTCTAGACGAACTTGACAGCACCTGCATTGACACCCTTCTGGCTTACGCTAAAAAGTTGTCAGCCCTCGGCTTACGAGTGTGGATCTTCTCCCGCCAAAACCTGGAAGCCGGCCTCATCACCTATTTCAAAAAATTCACCGTCAAGCTAACCGAAGTCGACCGAAACGAGCAAATCCACTACATCAAGAACCGACTTCGTAGTAAATCGTACCGCGACGACGAAGTCCAAACAGTGATTGGAAAAATCTTCAACAGTACCGAAGTCGTGAATAACCGCCAAGTCCTCGGTATCCCCCTCCAGCTCTATATTATCACCCAAATCTTCCTCGACGACGAAGACAAGTTCAAGTCCACCGCTGACAATATCTTCGTTTTGACCAAAATGTACCGACTGTTTTTTGACGGAAGGTACAAGCACACGGTTAGCAAACAAGAGGCTAAAAACCCCCACATTGTGGTTGGAGAAGCCGAAGATTATTTCGAGAAGTACGAAATTTTGGCTTTGGTGACGATCCTAGACGACGTGGTTTTCCGGGAGTTGAATTTGGACTTAAGGAGGACTCGCCGGTTTTTGGACGAGATTAAGAGGACGAGGGACCCTTTGGGGATTGTGGTCCATGTGAACAGTGAGAATAAGGCTGTGTTTGAGCACCAGACGTACGCTGAGTATTTCGCGTGCATGTTCTTTTCGTACAACTTCGACAAAGTTCGGGTTTTGAAGCAACACCTGTTTTCGGACAGGTACAAGAATTTGTTACTCATTTTGAATATCATGTTGGCTGAAGAAAGTCCCTTGCATTTGGGGGTGATTTATATGGATCTTCAACAGATTGAGAGACATTGTGGGGGTGGTAAGGTCTACGATAGAGCGGGACGGAATCCTCTGCATCTAGCTGCTTGTCGAGGGATGGAATATCCGAATTGGAGCGTCTTCGATTGCTTTTTTCACACGTCCCGGTTTTTGAGGTTTATTGAAGAGGTGATTACGAGTAGACGGATCGTTAGTTTTGTCCTGGAAAGCGATCCTCTGGAACGGGACGAACTTTTCAGCTGGAATTGTCTGGATTACGCCAACCAAACGTCGTCCCTGTACGCGATGGAAATGATTTTGCAGAAATATCCAACGACGAAGGAAATCACCAAAAACGCCCCCTTTGTTCCAGACATAAACTTACCTTTGTTCCTCGTGATTACAGGGTCTTCAAACTTGTTGGCGACCATGAACCACCCACTAGTCAAGTCGTTGCCAAAGCTCACGCTCCACATGACCATAATGTACTGTTGCTTCAACAAAATGGAGATGTTGACGTTCCTTATTCAAAATGGCGCCGACTTAGAGTACAGTTACAAAGGAAACACAGCTTTGCAGCTCGCCACTCGAATGAAAAAACTGACAATTGTGACTCTATTGACAAAATGGGGGGCAAAAAGCGACGTTGTGGCACAAAATGGAGACACTATTTTACACTGTGCCGTGCGTAGCGAAACATTCGAACACGAACTGTGTTTCTCTGGGGATGTTCGCGAACTACTTGGAGACACTACGACCGGAGAACTGTATTTAAACAAGTGTAGCAGTATCGACTTGGTGGGTTTTTTTCTCGACAAGGGGGTGTCCATTAATTCGCAGAACAACGACGGGGAGACACCCTTACACGTGGCTGCTTTGAACGCAGACTTTGATGTTTGCGAACTTTTGTGCGCGAACAACGCGGATGTTAATATAGTGACGACGAGGAAAATGAGCGTTTTGCACTATGCTGTGTTGGGTGGTGATGTACAGGTCGTTGCTTTCGTTGCGTCTAAGATTGTTGATGTTGATATTGAAAACGACAACGGGGAAACCGCGCTTGTGGTAGCTATAAAAATGAAGAATTTTAAGATAGCGGAGTTTTTGTATGACACAGGGGCAAGAGTTTGTGTTGACAGAGTGCATAGAGAGTGGATTTGGTGTCTTTTCGAAACAGGGGAATGCGATGTGGAGTTTATTAAAAGCGCGGTTTCTTCTGGGGTTTTGGGTGTAAACGCTCTTGGTCGGAACGGAGTGACTTTGATACATGTAGCTGCTAAGACAGACTTGGAATTAACTAAGTTTCTGTACGAAAAAGGGGCAGATGTGGATTGTTTGACGTATAATGGTGTTCATGCCATTCAGTTGGCTGTTTATAGTGGGAAAGTGGATATTGTTGAGTTTCTTTGGGAGAAGGCGGATTTGATGCGCGTTGTTAAGGATCATAAGGTGTATCCGTTAGTGTTTGCTACGGAAGGGCACTGTTTGTATCGAAATTTGCTGCTAAAGGGGGCTGCTATGGTTCAGTCTTTGGAAGATAAGCGACTTTATAATGTTCGTCGAGCCCTCAGGACTGAATTTTTGAAAAATAAATGACATGGTTTTATTGTGTTGCGTTTTATTACTTTGTCATCTCGTCAACCCCTACTTGTTCAACTACGCCTTCTCAGTGGCTCTCTGGACGTTGATGGGTTGAAGCGGTGGAGCAATAGGGTTTTGGATGTCATTCAGAAGGGGACGGTGATGAATATAGGTGGTATTTGAATGTTTTGCTTTGTTTTGGTAATCGTTGTCGATTTTGACAGGAAAAAGGACAAACGATTGAGTTGGGGCAAAATCCTTATTTTCCAACGAGAAATTAAAAACATGTTTTTGAGTATAGTGTTGTTCAAAAAATACTTACTATGTATATTAAGAAAAAAATAAAGCCAGAGATTAGGCCCCACCCATACACGCCCCGATCTCACTTCTCAGTTGTGATGAATTTCTCATTCGTTGTCAGATCGAGAGGCGGGGCTTAACTACAAGATCCACATTTGTCTACAAGAATCTACCATGTGAAACACATTTAAGTTTCTTATTCAGAAAAGACCACTACGTATATTAAGAAACAAGACAAAATGGAAGCCCCGCCCACCCACCCTATCTCAATTGTGATGAATTTTTTTATCGCCGAAAGCCAAAAGAGCGGAATTTAATTGCAAAATTCTTATTATTTCTCTACAAAAATTTACCATTTCAAATGTGTTTTAAGTGTCCAATAATAAAAAAATCATCACAATTGAGATAGGGTGGGTGGGCGGGGTTTATATTTTGCCTCGTTTTCTTATTATACCTAGTATTCTTTGAACAGCACCATACTCAAAAACATGCATTTAATTTCTTGTAAAGAAACAAGTATTTTACAGTTACGCTCCCCCCCTTACTTCACGGCCAAAAAATATAATTCCAATTGAGACAGGGTGGGTGGGCGGGCTTATATTTTGGTTTTTTGTTTTAATATGTGTAGACTTCTTTTTACAACATGAAACTTAAAACATTTTTAAAATGGAAAATTTGTGTAAGGAAATATTAATTTTGCTATTAGGCTGCGCCTCATAATTGCAAAATCCATATTTCCGTGCAAAAATGTACCATTTTAACTATGTTGTGTGTCTTGTTATGAAAAGAATGCTTTGTATATTAAGAAAAAAAGGAAAAATGTAACCCTGCCCACCCGCCCTATCTCAATTGTGACGATTTTTTTTATTGGTCGTGAGCCAAGAAGGCGGAACTTAACTGCAAAATCCTTATTTCCTTACGAGAAATTAAAAACATTTTTTTGAATATTGTGTTGTTCAATTCAAAGCATACTATATACATTAAGAAAAAAATAAGGCAAACATTCGGCCCCACCCATACCCGCCCAGATGTCAATTCCCAGTTGTGATGAATTTTTCATTGGTTGTCAGATCGAGGGGCGGGGCTTAATTGCAAGATCCATATTTGTCTACAAGAATTTACCATTCTAAATATGTTTTAAGTTTCTTGTTCTGAAAAAACGACTACGTATATTAAGAAAAAAGGCATAATATATGCCCCGCCCACCCACCCTATCGCGATTGTGATGATTTTTTATTGATCGTGAGCCAAGAAGGCGGAACTTAACTGCAAAATCATTATTTCCCTACGAGAAATTAAAAACATGTTTTTGAGTAGTGTTGTTCAAAAAATACTTACTATGTATATTAAGAAAAAAATAAAGCCAGAGACTACGCCCCACCCATACACGCCCCGATGTCAATTCTCAATTGTGATGAATTTTTCATTCGTTGTCAGATCGAGAGGCGGGGCTTAACTACAAGATCCATATTGTCTATAAGAATTTACCATTTGAAACACATTTAAGTTTCTTATTCAGAAAATACGACTACGTATATTAAGAAACAAGACAAAATAGAAGCCCCGCCCGCCCACCCTATCTCAATTGTGATGATTTTTTTTATCGCCGAAAGCCAAAAAAGCGGAATTTAATTGCAAAATTCTTATTATTTCTCTACAAAAATTTACCATTTTAAACGTGTTCTTAGTTTCCAATAATAAAAAATCATCACAATTGAGATAGGGTGGGTGGGCGGGTTTAATATTTTGCCTTTGTTCTTGATATACATAATTCTTTGAACAAAAACATACTAAAAAACATATGTTTAATTTGTTCCAAAGCAATAAGTATTTTGCAGTTACGCGCTGCTCCCTTGGTTCACGGTGTATAAAAAAAAATCATCACAAATGAGATAGGGCGGGTGGGCGGGGCTTACATTTTGCCTTTCTGTTTTAATATGTGTAGACTTCTTTTCAAAACATGAAACTTATAATATGTTTAAAATGGAAAATTTGTATAAGGAAATATCGATTTTGCAATTAGGCTCAGACCCATAATCGGAAAATCCATATTTCCTTGCAAAAATGTACCATTTTAACCATGTTCTCAGTTTCTTGTGTTGACAAGATGGCTATGTATATTAAGAAAAAAAAAGAAAAATATAAGCTCCGCCCACCCGCCCTTCTGATGTTTTTACTTCCCGAGCGTAAGCAAAGGAAGTATTGTAATCGAGTCCGTCGGCCGACTCTCTACTTTTACGTTTTCTCGATCTTTCATGACCCCTAGAAGACGAAGAAATAGGTGAATAGGTCTCCCATTTCCCTCTGTCTGTCCGTCTGTCCGTCTGTCCGTCCGTCTGTCCGTCCGTCTGTCCGTCTGTCCGTCTGTCCGTCCGTCCGTCTGTCCGTCCGTCTGTCCGTCCGTCTGTCCGTCTGTCCGTCTGCCCCCGGATTTTTATTAGACAGTTAATCTCCGAAAGTACTCGACCGATTGTTGTGAAATTTTGTACTTATATTAAGAATATCATGTAGATGGTAAAACGCTAACCAAAATTTGTCTAATCATCCCCACCACTAATACGATGACGTCACTTCAAAATTGTACATAGTAAATGGGTTTTCAATTGTATAAAATAACATAGTCCTACACATGTAGTTTACAACTCTGAATCGACTTTTCACCCGAAACGTCCAGATTTTTGGAAAAAAAATCAAAATTATAAAACAACATTTTGAAATTTAATTTTTAATCTGCTAACCAGAATGCTTTGAAATGTTGCAGATGTTTTAAGGCTATAAAGAGCATCATAAATCTTTAGTCAAAAAATATTTGCTTATCCCCTCCAAAAACTTGATGACGTCAGCTCAACAGTTTGTGGAATAAATCATATCTAAAATGTACAAAATATGATGAGTCTGTACTTGTGATCTATCACTCCATTCATATTTTTTGGATTTGCATATACAGGGTGATTCAAAAAAATTAATGAAAGCGTAAATTTATTTTACTGATTTACTCAGAAACTACAAAACCGAATGCTTTGAAATCTTGCAGATGTTTTAAGGTTTAAAAGAGCATAACAAATGTTTAGTCAAAATATATTTGCTTATCCCCTCCAAAACACTAACATTGCTGATTTAGTGATGACGCTTATCAAAGAAACGACTCCTATTAAAGGTAGAAGTTGCCGAGGAAAAAAAGGAAAATGAAGGAAAAATTTGTTAACAACTTGTCTTCACATTTGTCCTTATAAATAATAAATTAAATGTAATACATTTTTGTTTCCTTAAGAAAACAAAGTTAACAAAGTTAGTTGAGTTACAAAAGTCTCTTTTGCTCCACGTTGGCCACCAACGAGCGATTTTCAAGATTTTTGTGAAACTTTGCTGGTTTTGAATTTGAATTTTCTGTCCTCGATAGTTGATGCTCAGCAAGAACCACGGGAAGGTCTGGAGCAGATCTCGCTAGGAAAGGAGAGGGCTAGGATTTGTTAATGAGGGATAGAACGTTATACAGTACAATACAAAAGAAATACAATACAGGTACCTACAATGTAACTACAATACAGAATACACTACAGATACAGATACAATTTAGATACAAAACAAATGCAAAGTTAGTACCCAATTCATCACCGGAAGAAATTGCACCAAAAATTGAGAATGTTGCAAAATGAAAACCCAAGCAAGCACACCGATGGAACTCGGAACGAAATCTATTGGTCGCAGTGCTCGTTCGCCCAAGGCAGGAATGCAGCCGCATAAATCCAAGGCCGACTGACCTCATCCTTATAGGATGATGCGACCCAGCGTCTAAGGGCCAACAGAACCCCCCCAGACCAAGAGCTCCTGACGACATGGAGAATTCAGACCTGGAACCAAAGGATGCGCTGTTGCAAAATGAAAACCCAAGCAAGCACACCGATGGAACTCGAAACGAAATCTATAGGTCGCAGCGCTCACACGCCCAAGGGAGAACGCAGCCGCATAGATACAGGGCCGACTGACCTCATCCCTTTGGGATGATGAACCTCATCCTTTTAGGATGATGACCCAGCGTCTAAGGGCCCAGAGAACCCCCCCAGGCCAAAGCGTCTGACGACATGGAGAATTCAGTCTCGGAACCAAAGAATGCACTGTTGCAAAATTAAAACCCAAGCAAATGCACCGTGAAAACAAAGCATTTGCACCACTGGAGCTAAATTGGCAAGACCCAAGTTAAGTTAGTAACACATACAATATACAGTACAAAATGGTTCAATTACAAAAGTTACAATATACAAATTTCTCCACGTTTGCCACCAAAGAGCGATGACTGTGCTCGCTCGTTGTTGTTGCCCAGCAAGAACCAAACAATACGAGGAGGTCTGGAGTGCGTCTTGCCATGAGAAAAACAATAAATTAGAAATTCGCGAACACGGGCTACTTTTAAGCGAAAACGGAGCTCCGAATGCTCAGATGTTGCTGCCACCAGACCGAAATCAAAACTAACCGAAAACCGCAATATTTGTTCAGGTGGCTCTCGTGACAGTGATGTCATCAAACATCACGATGAGATTGCAAACATTATTTTTCATATTTTGACTGGAACATTGCACGTTTTTAATATGTTCACGTTTGTAGGAAAACGGCTTTAATTATATTAATTAATACTTATCATATTTAAACAGTATATATAAATTAAAACTACAACCGTATTTACTCCGTTTTTGGGAATTTTTGGAAAAATGCACACTTTGTTTCGTGTTC